GGGTCGTGGGTTCGAATCCCAGTTACACCAAACATGCTCGCCCTTTCAGCCGTGGGGGCGTTATAATGTGACGGTCAATCCCACTATTCGTTGGTAAAAGAGTAGCCCAAGAGTTGGCGGTGGGTGGTGATGACTAGCTGCCTTCCCTCTAGTCTTACATTGCTAAATTAGGGACGGCTAGCGCAGGTAGCCCTCGTGTAGCTTTGCGCGAAATTCAAAACAAAAAAACAAAAACGGAATAAATGATATATGCTATAAAAGCTACATGAGATATGCTATAAAAGCTACAATATTATTTTTCCTCATTCAACCTTAATTTCCTCTAGTTGTGGGATCGGCCGCTCAGGTATTTTCTATTAGCCGTAATTTTTTTTTACACTCTACCCTGACAGTAACTCTAAAGGCGAACACATTCGGTGACGGAGATTCGAACCCGCGACTTGCATGCCAGGCCTATATAAGCGACACTATTATTGGCATCTAACTATATATGAACGAAAATCAGAATCTATATAAATACTTTAACTGTATGAAGATACTATTTTTTCTTTTGTTTTAGTGCAAACTACACAATTGGCAATCTGCATTCGGTGAACCGATGGGAATCAAACCCCAGATTTTAACGTTGTAAGTCCGTAAACTTACCCTGAAACACCGGAGAACCTGAAATTACTAGGAACAAAGCAATATATAGACAGACTGGCATGCATATGATAATTAGTTGTAACTAAAACAGGTTCAAATATCATAGAACCAGAACACATCGTTCCTATGTTCTTATTTCTATTTTAATTTTAGTTTTCTTTAATGATTTTGTACAACATAAAATTGTAAAATTTATGAAGTATGCAAGCACACTGTTTGGTAACCATATCCAGAATTTAATTATCGAAGCGTTGTTACCGTAAAACCAAAGAGAAAATTCAAATATGAAGTAAAAGTATTGATCGGTAAGCCAAATCTTAAAGCTGTCCAGCAGCTCTTTGTCAGCAGTTCCAGTGAATTATTTTAAAGCTGTTAATGAAGCGCTATGGTTCAGATAAAACATTGTAACTGAAATTATAAAGTGAAAAAAAATTAATTGAATGCATTCACAACTTCTCATAAACAAGGAAAATGTTAAATGAAATAAATATATCAGACGTAACAAATATTTCTTGATCGTTAGATATATTTATAAACAGTGTAGAGCAAGTGTTCTTTAACATATCCGACTCAACTCGTGTTCTTAGATGACTTCTTTTTACCATTGCTTCTGTAAACTTCTTACTAAAAGTTTGTGTTTGAATATATTCATGATTCTTATAATGTTTGTTACTGAGAAATATTCAAGTTGCTTACCCAATATTTTTGTTTCTGTCTTCCCTTCAATTATTCGATATTCTCACGTTCGATTTCTTTCATACTTTAACTATTCCTTGTTGCTCTGGTTCAGTTCAACAGTCGGGTTGAACTAGAGGTAAATGTAATTTTTTGTATGATAAGCGATATATATATTTGGATTTCATTACTTCCCTTCTGAAGCGTTAGTGCATAAATTTTGGAACAAACCGGAGTGATGTTGGTATATTTTCTATAAAGAGACTAAACATATTAGTATTGATCCCGTTTTGGTAGAAACGTCAAAATGGAAACTCTCAGCATTCTCTAACTACGCTGGCCACTAAGTGATTAGATCACTGCGCCTGCGTGCTAAGATTGTACCGAACGAAATTCGTAGCTCGTGAATAGAGAAACAGTAACAGAAGGTGTTCACCACAAGTGTTCTTCTGCTCATCCAAACCTCAAAGAAAGCTGATGACAAGTACAAGAATTGGCGAACTAGAAGCTCCATAAAACTCCTATTGAAGTTAACATTTGAATGGTTTGGGAATACAAGCTTCTCCATGTATTAGAATAGTTACATCAAATGTAAGTGATTATATGTAAATCTGCTTTAAGGTATTTTGAATGAAGAAGACAATATATCCGCATTTCGTACTGAATTCACTTGTTTTTCATGTGCAACAAATGGAATACAAAATATTTGACGCTTCGAAGAAAAATACTTAAAGAGCTGAGCTTCTAATATTGTTTTATCTGCGTCTTTATCACACATAGGTGATCATTGTCATCTGTCTTTTCCAAGAATAATATTTTAGAGATTAGTACTGGTGGTTCTTTTAGTTAACACTATAGTATAGTAAAACCTACTTGGATTATGGTGTAGTATATTTGTCAATCAGTATTGTCGAAAACAAATTTAAGACAAAGATAAACTACTTGTTTTAGCTCATCTTCATTCCATGTAATGTGTTTGTTTGCTTGTTTCTTTTTTGGAATGGGTAGTACTGATTCTTGTATTAGTTATCATTCGTTGTATGCAACGTATTTGTGGTTAATAGTATTCCTTGTATTAGTTATCCATCATTGTATGCAACGTATTTATGGTTAATAGTGTTCCTTGTGTTATCTTTTATTACATGTAACGTATTTGTGGTTAGTACTGTTACTTGTATTAATTATCCTTCATTGCATGTAACGTACTTATGGTTATTAGTGGTTGTTTTTGTGGACGCTAATGACCTTTGAACTAGTTCATCTACATTGCATATAACATCCTTATGGATGAAAAATAAATGTGAACCCTAACCTATCATTATATGAATATCCTTACGCTTAGTTACTAGTGTTCTTTGCATTAACTCATCGTAACTGAGTGTAGTATATTGTGTACTTTCTAGTGATCTATCATCATTGCACCTAATATTTAGGGGTTAGTAGTGGCTATTGCATAGTTCAGTACTCTCACATATACTTCTATGGCTTACAGTGTTTCTAATATCTTTAATGGAAGTACGAGTTGTGGAGCATGTCTAACTTTTCTTCAATGATGGGTTTGTTCTATCTATATTAGCCATGTTTTACACATAAAGACTTCTTTACAAGATCCCCCTTGCAACAATAATTTTAATTTTCAGCCATCTAAACCTTTGCCATCTGGTCAGTAACAATTGTAGGGTTAGATTCAGATGGGGTCATAAATTCAAATTTTGGCAGCGTAGGAGTCGTCTGCTGTTTAGACAGTGTTACTTTTCAACAGGATGGTTTGCTTTTGGAATGAGCTGCCTTCAAGGATGGTGGAGGCAGAAATTTAACTGAGTTCAAGAAAAGATTGGATGAATACACGAGTAGTAAAGAGTGGTTATAGTTAGAAGCTGGAAGGGACTTCCTTGATGGGCTAAAAAAGTCATTTTTGTCCCTTTAACATTTCATGAATTTTGCCTCCATAAGTATACAGTTATTGTCGTAAGCTTCTTTCTAGACAGTACTGCTCAAAATATTAGTTCACCTACATTTTTGTGATGACTAATTTCTCTGTATTATTCATCTTCAGTCGCATGGGGGTCTATTTTAATTATGCATTTACACCAATTCTTATTGTAAGTGTCATCAATTTGACTTATACCAACTTTATTTGATTTTTACAGCTGAAAATTTCATCTGTAGTCATCACTATTTCTCGAATTAGTTCACTATCATAATATATTACATCTTTGAGGTATTAGGTACTCATCTTATGAAAAAATTGTCTTTACTCTGCGTACAGCCTGCATGAGTTCTACCTTAAGTTTAATTTATCAAACCTATCAGTTGGTTGTTTTTTGCAGGGCTAGTTTTTGGCTGGTTCTTTCATTTAAATGAGTTGAAATTAAGAATGGAATAAATGTATCTGTATATATTAAATGGTACGCTTTGAATTAATTCATTTTCATTGTACATAGTACTGTTGTAATTGTTTCTATTGTTATTTTAGATCATTTAGCAAACATAAGAGTACAAAGATCCCATTCAATAATAATTAAAGCATTTTAATTCTTCGACTATAAGCACATGTTATACAAAGTTCACATAGTACCCTAACTTTAACCAAGTGAACTTCACAAATAATGCTAAACGGTCATTTATTTGCTATTTTTTCTGTATATATGGTACTTCTCTCTTCTTTAATGCTTCGCTAAAACACGAAATTAGTATTCACAATACTTAACTGACTTACTGGCTAACAGTGACAGACAAATTGATAATTCGTTAACTCAATAATTGGCCATCATCTATTCTAGCCTAATGTATGTTTTGTTGTTTAAATCCTTTCCTACATTTTCAAGAATATTCTGGTAATTTAGCCAGATCCATCACGTGACGTCACACGTCATTGTAGCCAAATACAAAAGTCTAAATTTATACATCTTTGGTCATCGATCTAATACACGAGTAGAGTTTGTAATATATACTATCGCTTGTTTGTTTCGTTTACACATCTCAATGATAAATTTCGTAAACACGTTTAATATTGTTTTTATAATTTCTAATATTGAATCTTCAATGATCTATATATTCTTTCTGTGCTGATGAGATTTTTACAGATTATTAACTGTTTTGTTTACATACATTTTATATCAGGTAATTCTGTATTTTTGTTGAATAATCCATGTTGTTCTCAACAATTTTTGGGTTTTATTACCTCGTTTATAATTTACTTATTGATAGTTTTATAACAAATGTCTTCTTTATTGACGTGTATCTGTTGATTGGATTCTTGATCACCAAACATATGTGATTTGAATGCTATCGTTTATTTATTTGTGTGCATTGCACTAGCAATTATCTCTACATTTTACCAGTAATCGTCTACGTATGTTAATTTTTTACTATACATTTTATTGTGGTACTAATGGCAAACACATGGCTTCAAATGTTTGTTAGCATTTACCTGGTTTCATACCGTTACCAATAATATATGTGTTTTTGTAGGATCTATATGTGATTGGTACGATGTATCTGTATTTGCCGTGTCATGCATCTTAATTTGTTTATTCAATGCATTTACCAGCTTATTACTCGTGCTGACTGTTTAACATAAGCTTCGTAAGAACCAGTCACGAAAACACAAACCTCGGTATGAATACATTTAAAAGAGATCGTACGTACTGTTACACATAAATTTACATTACTTACCAAGCATTTTCGTATGTTTTTATCAAGAATGTATTTCGCAGCTACTTTTTATAGTCTTTGAAATATCTCAGACATTTGTAATAATAAAACAACGTAATTTGACGAATATGTTTAAAAGACAAAAAATATATTGATTTTTTTTTTGCGAGGAGGCCTATGACATATAATTTATTTAAGACGAGTGCATTGCATTTTGTACCTTGTGCAATTAACAAAGTAGGAAAAAGTATTAAAAAATTTAATTGCCTGTAATTCTTAAGCAGTTTTTTTTTTACTCCTGTTTCAAAGGAGGATTATCTTCATCATGTTACAACATGTGTTTAAAAAAAAAGCGTTTTACTCTATTTTTCTCACTTGTCATTTGAAGAGTGCCTTAAAAATCTTTTCTCTACGACATCTAATATCAAGTCTGGTGTATCCCTTCAAAAAAGTTCATTATACATTAACGCAATAGAGGTTCGAATGTGATCAATTCATCTACAATTGTTATGCAATAGTTGGATTACTTTTAGCACATTATAGTATAATATCAAGATGAACAAGTGATCAATTCATCTACAATTGTTATGCAATAGTCGGATTACTTTTAGCACATTA